CGCTACACTCTCGGCCACCCAGAGGGACCTAACCCACACCACTCACCAAGTGGGCAGTGGAACGGGCAGAGACCAGAGCCAGATATTGGCTCACTCACAGGCTCCCTTGACAGCACCTCACACCACGGGAGTGTGTGGAGCCCACTCTGTCTGGACTGAGACGGCGTGGCTGTGACATCAGTAGCTTTAGGGGGGATCCCATTTAAACGTATGCCTAACAGCCTGCTGACACAGGCAGCCCGGCGAGCAGCTTCCTGAACGTCATAATTACAAGCTCCCGGTTGTAAGGGAGCGCATGCACAGCGCCAGGCCTCCGGCAGTCACGTTCAGCAGTCAGACCACGCTGTGCTGTGACTCAGGCCTGAAACTCTGTGGGCGTGGCTGGGGCAGGATCCCAGCAGTCACCCAGCCCCTCAGTCCACAATCTTTCTGGCATCTGAGGCCTCAGGTCCAGAAACAAGGTTCCCAAAACTCAAAGAATGACAGGCATTCTCAGAACTGACACCAACACTCCACACACCACATTCCTCTTGGCCCCAAGGAAATTCAGGTCAGACGTGAGAACACAGAAAGCGTGGTTCTGAGTGAAGGCCGCTCACCCTGCCCGCACCCAGGCGGCGGCTACGTCTGATGTCGCCTGCATCTCCAGGTGCCGTGGCGTCAACCCCCCCGGGATCACTGTGAGGACAGGGCTTGCCCACTGGCCCTCACGCCAGTGTCCTGTCACTAAGGCTCTGCTCCTCCTTTGCAGCTCCCAGGCCCCCCATGAGCACGGCTTTTCTCGCCAGACCCGCAGCGCGTGGAGCTGGCTTCAAATAAAAGCGGCGGGAAGGAAAGCAAGAGCACGTCGTTAAAATCACCAGGTGCGAATCAAACAGGAGCCAGCTGTGAGCCGACCCCGGGAAGCCAGAGCCTGACCCGAAAGAGGAAGATGAGTCTCCTCAAAGAGCGGAAGCCAAAAAAGCCGCACTACATCCCGAGGCCTCCGGGGAAGCCCTTCAAGTACAAGTGCTTCCAGTGCCCCTTCACTTGCAACGAAAAGTCCCATCTCTTCAACCACATGAAGTACGGTCTCTGTAAAAACTCCATCACTTTGGTATCGGAGCAAGACCGTGTCCCCAAGTGCCCCAAGTCTAACCCTCTCGACCCTAAGCAGACGCACCAGCCGGACCCCACCGTGAAGCCCGCCTCCACCAAGTCGGCCACGCACAGCCTCCCCCACGTGGACACCAAGCTCCCACTCGGCCTTGCCAAGGACGACGCCAAGGAGAACCTGGAGCTGCAGCTGCGTGGGCCCCACAAGGGCCCTGGGCAGAAGCCTGCTCTCCACAAGGAGGCCGAGCACCGGGCTCCAGCCCCCGAAGCCGCGGCGGGCTCCCCACCGGCTCTGGAAGGGGCCGTGCGGCCATCGGCCTTCGTTCCCGTCGGAGAGCACAGACTCAAAGGGCCAGAACACGCCGAGGCTCCCGAGGCCCTGGCACTGCCCGGCGCCACCACCAAGGCCACCCCTTTCCACACCAAGTCTGCATTCCACGCCCCTGCCTACCCCTGGAAAGCTGGCTTGCCCTTCCTCCCGCCCGAGTTCTCACATAAAATCCCACCCACCAAGGGGTTTGGGGCCCTTTCCCCTTACATGCACCCCACAATTCCAGAGTACTCACCCCACTTTTACACGGAGCATGGACTGGCCACCATCTACTCACCCTACCGCCCGGCCGGGAACTCACCCGAGTGTGACGCCCCCCTGCTGTCAGTCTACGGGGCCCAAGACCAAAGGCACTTCCTGTCTCACCCGGGGCCAATGCCCAAGCACTTGCACCCGTCTCCCCTGGCATACGATCATTACCGGTTTTTCCAGCAGTACCACCCCAATTTGCCAATTCCTTATGGATTCTACAGACCAGAGTCTGCGTTTTCCTCCTATGGCCTCAGACTGCCGCCTGTCCCTGGTATTTCACAGGATCAGAGCGCCCACCTCCTGGAAGAAGCTGCCCTGGTCTACCCAGCCTCCAGTCCATCCAAGTCAAACCCTTCCCACTCCCACAAGAAACACACCGAGTTTGAGAAAGAGAGTCTGACTGCTGAGGCCGAAGACTCTTCCAAAGACAGGCAGAGGGACACAGAAGGGACCAAGATGAGCCCACGGGCAGGCAGCGCGGCCACGGGCTCCCCAGGAAGGCCAAGTCCCACCAACTTCACCCAGACAAGCCAGCCCTGCACGGGGCTGGGCGACCTCTCGAACAAGCCCATGGCAAACGCCCTGGCAAGACTCCAGCAACCAGAGCGGAGCCTCACGGCCTTCAAGCCCATCAAGAAGAGCACCGAGCGCCCACATTTCCAGGCTCCAGAAAACAGAGATGACCCTCCACAAAGGTAAGAGCGTCTCCTTTTCAGAACCTCCACAGGCGTGTCTCTGGCTGTGCTCGGTTAGCAAGCTAAGATTCCCCCAAAAAGCTTCACACAGCAGCTTTTCTACTAATGTCCCTAATAAGCTTCCCTTCTCTTTGCCTCCTCCAGCCTCGGCACCATGGACACCGACACTCCGGCCCAGACCAGCAGCACCTCTCGTGGCACGGAGGCCATGCCGCCCAGCCCCGAGGACGCCGGGATAGCCCCGCTGAACCTCTCCAAGAAACCGGAGACCAGACCGGCAGCAGCTCACGACCCCCGGTACACAGACTTCCCGGAGCTGCAGGACGTGCCTCTCAACCTCTCGGTGAAGGACCCCTGCAATGCCCTGGCCCAGAGGCCTTCCCCCAACAGCCCACCACCAGAGGCGGAACCCGCCACGGCTACTGATCAGAAGACCGGGCCGGCAGGTTCCGGAGATGAGCCAGGACATACAGAGACGAACCACGACAGCCTTGGCTCCGATGAGGTCCCAATGACCAGCCCCACTGGGAAGGCCCAGGACACACGGGCAGTGGACAGCAGCGATGAGCAGAAGCAGACGGCAGCCGTGGCCCTCTGCCAACTGGCGGCCTACAGCCCGGGCACCGTCCGGGTAGGCGATGGGGAGCCTATGGCCCAGGAGTCCACCTGCCAACAAGACACGCCGGCTCTCAGTGCCACGGCGAGCCAGGAGCCTCAGAGTGACCTCAGACCTAAAGGGCAGAAGAGGACGAGCCCACGGGATTCGGGGAAGTCCCAGCAGGGAGCTAAGAAGACGAAGTTGAGTGACACAGCACGAGTGTTCACCCTCCGGAAAAGGACTCGGGTGTCCTAGTGCTGGCTCACTGGCACAAAGCACTGGGCACAGCACACACCACCGAAGCAGGGCGCAGAGCAGCTCATCTGCAACAGCCCCTGCGTTTTTTATCTGTCCATTTTTACAGGCAGTTTTTTCTTCTCAAAAAACAAAATACACATAGAGAAAGAAAAAGAAAAAACACAAAAAGGCTACAATTTAGCTCACTTTTTGTAAATATTAAGCATGAATATTAAAAGGTGCTTCCATTTGGGACTGTAAAAACATCAGAATGACTCCTACTCTAAGATTGGCGAGTTAGACACTGGCTTTTATTTTTATAATAGAATGAATGAAACAGGTTGGACTACAAGGTAACTTTCAGGTATAAGCCATGTCATAGGAAGTCTTGTAAAAGTACTTTTCTTATAAATACAATTCTTACACCAGAACAAATGGTCTTAGCTGTCTCATTAAACCTACTGTGTCATGAAGTCAGCGACAATGACTGGAAATGCCAGAAGCCTTTTCAGCACCAGCATTGCAGTGCTGTCTCTGAGGACATTTTGATTTGTTGTGACTAAATAATACACAAACATCAGGAGGCTATTTATACAAATAATTTATTTCCAGGAGGGAACATGTTTTACTGGTGGAGTTATTTCCAATATAGTCCATTCCATCTAATGTTACAGTGAACTTTCTGATTCATGCAGCCTCACTTTCCACTTCCTAAAATGATGTATATATTGCCAATTTTCCAATAAACTCTTGATAAACTTTAAGGGTGCACAAAATAAAAAGAAATATGGACTCTGTTATATTTTAAGAGTATTCTGCCATAATAAACTCAGTGAAAGAAGAGACCAGAGCTAAGGCAACAATTAAAACAGACTGAGAGTGAATGTGAGTGTGTGTACACATGAGCGTGCGAATGTGCGTGCAGACCAGTGGGCACCAAGCGCAGGCATGAGCCACCTGGGCTCCTCGGAGCCTTCCTACAGGCCCTGGCCTCGGAGCACTGCAGGAGGACGAGCTGCCAGAGCCCGGCTTTCTAAAGGGCTGCTGAGAGCAGGCTGAAGGCCTTCAGCCCCTCCTCCTGCCTCTTCACAACAGCCTGGGTTCTCCCGTTTACCCACCCGGGACGTCGACCACGGGCCCTGGAAAGGCACATGGTGCAGAGTGGGATTCACTCCAGGGACTGGGAGGAGCCCTCGACCAGGCAGGTGGTGGTCACTAAGTGCAGGTCCAGTGAAGGCAGAGGACAAACACTGCTAAAGCAAGAAAGCCATCCCCAACCACCTGTGTACGCAACAAGGCTTCTCAGCACAGAGCTAAAGAGAAAATTTTTAAATAAAAATATTTATGTAAAGCCTTGCCTCATCCTAAAAGACAGCCTGAACCGCCCTGGCCGTGGCTCAGTTGGTTGGAGCATCTTCCCATGCACCAGAAGGCTGTGTGGATTCCATCCCCAGTTGGGGTGCGTGCAGAGGGCAACCAATCAATGTTTCTCTCTATCCCTTCCTCTCTCTCTAAAATCAATAAAAATCATACCCTCAGGTGAGAGCTAAATTAAAAATAAAAAAACAACAACACTTCACAACACGGAGAAGCAGCAATTAGGAAAGAGAAAGAAGGAAAGCTGAGCAAGATCTAGTGCATTCTCTCCTACCCCACTGCCCGTCAGTGAGGGCACAGCCTAGTTGCCTAGTTGTGAGCTCACACAGGCCATGCTGGGGAGATGGGGAGAGACGAGGCACCCACATCTTCAATTGTCCCGATGATACAAAGCAAACGCACGGCAGGTACTCACCATCCGGGAGTCGGGGAGGGAGCAGCAGGCCCCTCCTGCCCAGTTCTGCCAGCGCCAGACATCCACCATGCCAGGCGTTGTCCGTCTCCTGGAAACTGAGAGCACACAGAACACTGAGACCACAGAGCTTCCCGGCAGGCCCAAACCCAAAGCCCAGAGCCTCCCAAAGCCCATCTGTGAATTTAAAGCCTCAGCAGCTGGCACAGGAAATACAATACTCCAACTGCCCTGGAGAGCACAGCCAGCCACAAAATCAGAGTTCATAAAAATGACAAAATAAAGGCACAGCAGTATTTGAGCTTCAACTCAGGAGCACTCAGACTGCTGGGCTGCAGAAAGGCCCGCACACCTGGCCAGAGATGTGTCTTTTGGGAGAAGAAAATGTTCAATGCGTGGGGTAGGGGCTTCAGGAGGGAGGCCATGAGTGCAGCGACGAAAGGGAGGGAGGGAAGAGGGGAGTTCCATACAAAGTAGCCTGTCCTGGCTGGTCTGGCTCAGCCTGCGGACTGAAGGGTCCCAGGTTGGATTCCATTCAAGGGCATGTATCTTGGTTGCAGGCATATCCCCAGTAGGGCGTGTGCAGGAGGCAGCTGATGGATGTTTATCTCTCATTAATGTTTCTAACTCTATCCTTTCCCTTCCTCTCTGTAAAAAAAAAAATACACAATAAAACGTGTTGTTGTTTTTTTAAAGGAGCTTTAACTGTCCAGAGGGAAGAAGCAGATAAAAGAGCTGGAGGCAGACAGCCATCCCTGGAGAAGGAGGCATAGGAAAAGCTCCCAAATCCCATCTGAGCTCCATCCTCTCTCAGCAGCAAGATACTCCCCCGTGGCCATGACAATGGCCGCCCCCTCAGTGGCTACCTGGGGACACCTCTGCGCCCAGCAGGGTCCCAGCACCATCAGCACACCCATCGCCATGCCACCAGAATGGGACTCCAGGAAGATGCCCTCAAATAAGCCAGCAGAACGGCCAGGTAAGACAGGGAAGCCCGCACTATCTTGTTCCTCGTTCAGGGCCTCCTGGCCACGTGTGCACCATTATCCTGAAAAAGATGGCCCACATCTGACACCCTGCCCTCCCGACACTGTCACCAAGCAGGCTCCAGGCGAAGTGCAAGAAGAAACCTGCTCAGGAGGAGCACGGCTCTGAGGGCCCTCGAGGAGCAGCCTGGTGACTAACACACACACCTGAGCACCCAGGAGTGCTGACGGTGCACTTCGCCTGCTCAGTGGCAGTCCTAGACGAAAAGCCACAGCTAATGAGGGCAGCAGTGCAACCACTGGCCCAGCAAACAGCACTCGTTCCCCAAACATCTGCTTCTGAAACCAGGAACGACACTGAGAGCCTAAACCCCTGGCAGGAACTGCTCACTACGCCTGTCTCCAATGCACACACACACCTGGGAGCACCTTGCTGCCTGGACTCTGCCCTGTCTGCACCTGCAGGCCCCAGGCTCACACCAGAGTCAAGGGCAGGCCATCTGCCACCAGACTTCCTGCAAGGCTGGGACAGATACAACACAACCGCCACCGCGTGCTGCTGTTTACATTGAAATCCGGCAAAATTAAAGTAAAACTTACAATTCACACTCAGTGATCCCAGCCTCTTTTTATGAATCGCAGTAGTCAAGGTGGCTCGTGGCTGCCCTAGAGGCAGATCCAGAACATTCCATCACCACAGACTCTCCCTGGGACAGTGCAGACCACAGGTTCTCTCTAAGAATATCTATGTGTGTGTATGTTCAAGACTGATTTTTTTCCTTAAGGTTTACAAAATGTAACAAAATCTAAGCTGATAAAATAAACATATCAAAAATACGGGGAGTTCTCAAATTCACTTCAAACAGAAAAAAACACATAACTCTGGGGCTCTAACAAGAAGCTCAATTAAAGAAAATGTAAAAGGTCGGAGAGAAAACCCACCGCTTCCCGCCAGAAGTGCACCTCCCTCTCCCCTCCCCACCCCGCCCCACACGTACCTGAAACAGTCCAGCACCGACCCCACCACATCATCCGCCAGCTCCTGGGGAAGCCTTCCGGCCACCCTGCCAATCCTGGAAGAGAAGGGCCAGGCCCTCATCAGCACCGCCAGCCCATCGTGGGGCCACAGCCAGACCAGGAGCCATCAGCCATCTCCCTCCCCCGAGAGAAGGGGGCAGAGGCTGACCCAGAGCCAGAGCACACACTGCACTCCAGCACCTGCCCCACAGGACTCCACGAGGCTGCCATAAGCACCCATCTGTGCGCCTCTTAGGACGGATGCAAAGGGTGGGCACACAGTACCCAGCACCCAGCACCTGCAGACCCTCCCACTGGCTGGAGGCCCCACTTCCAGTGGACGCCAGCCATAGGCTCCCGTCAGGCTACCTGACGTGAGACCAGCACCCCTGCATAGCCCCTGCCAGGCCGGGTCCTGACCGAGCTCCCAGGAAGGCCCCTCCATGCCAGCCCATCCCAGTCCAACCAGACGTGACTTTGGGCTCAGAGGTTGCCCTGTGACCCCTGCAGCCTGAGTGCTCGTGTCTCTGGATGATCAGCACAGAAGCCCAGGGGAACCTCTGATGAAGGGCTGCATTGGTGAGAGGTCTCATTCACAAGCCACCAGCTCGTTCACATCCAGCGCTCGGCGAGATGGCCTCACCTACCCTTTGGCCGCAGACCACCGCACGACCGTGTCTTTGTCCTTCAGCCCGACCAGCAGCTGCTCTGGAGAAGACAGGAAGGAAGGTCCGTGAGCACCTGAGTCACTGCCTCCCTCCGGCTCTGGCACCCACCCTCACTTCACCACGTGCGCTCCATGGGGGGAACTACGTTAATTCCCATGACAAGAATAGGACGTTCCTTCTCTGTCCTAAATCATTTGAAGCCAACCTTTGCCATGTGCCTCGGAAGCACATTCACCTGAGCGGCCAGGGCACAAAGCACCAGGAAAGCCAGAGTCAACAGGGACCTGAGCCAGGGAGCAAGGCCCTCAGAAAACACACAGGAGCCGCACGGGGACAGGGTCTTGAGGATGGGCCAGACTTTAGGAAGAGCCACACGAAGGCCGGCCAGAGGAAATTGGATGGTGTCAGAGCCCTCACAGTAAGGGCCTTGCAAGCCCAGGGGGTGGAGCCTTCACGGAGGGCCCCGGGAAGGCCTAATGTGGAGAAGGAACAGGAGCCTGTGCAGGCGGACAATTCTCTGTGATGGGCAGTCTGGGACCTTGTGGGTGTGATCAGAGAGGGATGAGTCTCTGCCTTCAGCACAGGGAGCCTGGAGCAGTGAATGCCAGGGTGGGAGCCCACCAGTGGGAGCCAGAGACTGACCAGGAGTTGGCAGAGGCTGGCCCTGTGTGTGGGGCCTGGTCCACGAGGCAAGGTTGGGAGCAGACTCTGCTCATGACTCTGCCCCGTGTCATGGGGTGCCACGTGGGGTGAGAGTAGGGCAGGTGGAGAGCTCTGTGAGGTGGGAGTGGGTGGCTGGGGCCAAGGAAGTTGAGCTCGGAGTTCCAGGTGAGGCTGAAAGTTTGAGGCACACAGGGAGTGAGGTGGAAATGAGGGTCAATAGTGGGATTCTCGGGGTCCAGGGACCCAATAGCCACGGGTATGGATGTTCTCATGGGGATGGGCTGGACTGCAGGCCATATGCTCAATGGACATGAAGGTGGTCATGTGACAATGGCACAAATGGGAAAGTGGGGGTGCAGCCAACAGACTGACCTCAGAGCCTCCACCAAAGCGCTGCATGGAGCAAGTGGCCAGAGCCTCATCTCCCACCCACCCAGACAGCCGCCCGGGCAGCAGGCCACGCACCAATCACGCTCTCCACCTCCTCGGGGACGTCATAGCCCTCCTCGCTGTCAGGAGTCTCGACATGTGTCCGGGCCTCCTTCTGGCTCTCGGTGCTGGCCTGCAGGTTAGCAGCCAAGGAACGGCAGCCACGCTGGTACCTGCAGGGACCACAACTGACCTTAGGCCCACTGTCGTAGCACAGAGCCTAGTAAACAATCTCGACAATGTCAATCGACAACTGAGTGTCACTTGCAATCTGAACCTGTGGAAATTGCAGGTGTTTGTAGGGACACATGGGAAGGAAGAAGATAGTGTTCACTGTCATCAGCCGAGACCACCAGGAAAAGATGACTAACCGTAGCCACAGAAACAGACTCAAACTCCTAGTGACTCAGAGCCCTCGGTGCCAGCTGCCACGTCTGCAGGTGGAAAGGCAGGTGGTGAAGCAGCCAGCGGCACTGGAACCACCCACAGGCCTCATCCTCACTCAGAGCTGACAGCACCTTGCCACACGCCCCACCTCCCAGCCCTGCCATCACCCTGGCGCTCCAGCTAGTCCACTGCCAGCTCCTACAGATTCTGCCCGCCACCCACAAGCCTCCTCCTCCACAGTAGAGGCCACCCTCTCCCGCCAGCACAGGCTGGTTCAGCTGTATGACTCTGCCCAGCTCTTGACCCTCTTGCTGCCTCAGTTTCCCCACCTATAGAATGCTCGGCACAGAGGGCTACAATAATGACAGATTAAAGGACATGCACCAGACCAGGGCCCTTCCTTCTGAAAGGTGGCAAGCACACAGGACCTGCCTCGAGGGTGGCCAGAACAGGTCTGGAGCATTGAGTGTCCAAGTCAAGTTACAGAACAAGGGCTAGGGGCTGTAGCCCGAGGTCAACTTCAGAACCCAGGACTCCAACACCAGCTCGGACACTCAACTGTGGCCTTGAGTAAGTCTCTTTCTAGATCTCGTTTTTCCAGCTTAGCAGGCAGCTCTTTGGGTGACCCACCTCCAAACATTCACACAACCCTGTCCCTGGGGTTCAGCCTGACCCAGTGACTGTCTTTTGTGGAGACATGAAGAGACTCTGGCCTGTGTCCCGCTGACCCTCCCGCTCTAATAGCTGCCTTGAGAGAGGCCCCTGGGAGAAAACTGGGGGAGAAGCTCACCTGCCTGTCTGTACCTTCAAGAAGTCTTGAGAGAGCCTGGACAAGAAGGCCCAGCAAAGCTACATCCTGATTCCTGACCTGCAGAAACGATGTTGTTCTGCCAAAACCGGTTTGGCTCAGTGGATAGAACATCGGTCTGCGGACTGAAGGGTCCCAGGTTCAATTCCAGTCAAGGGCATTTACATTGGTTGCGGGCATATCCCCAGTAGAGGGTCTGCAGGAGGCAGCTGATCTATGTTTCTCTCTCATCGATGTTTCTAGCTCTCTATCCCTCTCCCTTCCTCTCTGTAAAAAAACAATAAATTTTTTTTTAAAGGCATTGTTTTAAGCTACTGAGTCTTAGGTTCTCTGTTACACAGCTGTGATACTGTGATTTATAATAAATATACAGGGTGGAGAAAAGTAGGTTTACAGCTGTGGGTAAGTGAAACAATTGTCTTTTATGTTAACTTTTGTATTCTTTTCCATATTAACTGTAAACCTATTTTTTATGTTTTTTATTTGAGAAAGATTGATGTAAAAGAGAAATGTCAATCAGCTGCCTCATGCACAAGGCCTATTGGAGATAGAGCCCCCAACTCTGGCATGTGCCCTGAACAGGAACTGAACCAGCAACCTTGTGGTGCATGGACGTGTGCTCAACCTGCTGGGCAACACCAGCCAGGACTGTAAACCTACTTTTGTCCTACCCTGTGTATTGTTTTTTGTCCATCTCTGGACTAAGTGGTCTTTTATTATGTTAATGAGGTGGTTTTTAGGAAGCCCCTAAGGAAAGGGGCCTGGTTGCCAGGAGGGGAAAGGGACTGGGCGTTGAACCAATCACCATTGCTAATGATCTAGTCAATTATGTCTGTGTAATGGAGCTTCCATAAAAACCCAAAAGAATGGGGTTTGGAAGGCTTCCGGATTGGTGAACAGAGGTGGTGCTGGAAGGCGACACCTGGTGAGGGCATGGAAGGTCCACCCGTCCCACACCTGCCCTGTGCATCTCTTCTCTTGGCTGTCCTTTCAAAATCAGAAACACCGGGAAGAAAGGAAAGCAGAGGACACTCAACCAGTCTACTTCACTACCATCACCACCAACAACACAAAGCACGGGCCCCGCCAAGTGATGGTCAGGCCACACACGGCACGCCTCGGCCTACCAACCTCCACTTTGCCACCCTGGGCTTCAGAAAGGTCAGGCCCAGCCGCTGCACCAGCTTCACCCTGAGCTTCCGGAGCAGGGTCTGGTTGCTGTCAGGGATCCTGCAGCCATCCAGGCACTTGAGAACAGTGGCAGCTGCGAACAACAGCACATGCGACTCAGTTTGTGGAAGGATTTTACCCACCCCACCTCCCATGTGCAACATCTGTGTGTGATGTCTACAGCATTTAAACCACAGATGACCCCACAGAACCCCGAATGCAGTGATGGCCTCAGTTCACAATGAACCACAAGGCCTGTGTCACGAAGACCCCTTCATCCCACGTCATTTACCAAGTGCAGCGAGAGTGGACCTGCTGCACTTCCTCCCTGGGAAGCAGCAGATCCAGAGGCTGGGAGAACAGGGCTGCCCCAGAGGGAGGGAGAAGAGGTTCTTCTCCGTAGAGAACAGCCTACGCTACAGGCTACAGAACAGGACGCACACGGCTCTGGAGTGGCTGCTGTTTGCTGTTGTTTATCAGGCATGAGTGGTCACAGCCGCGGGGGTAAGGCTGCCTGCCAGGTAGGGTCTCCACGGACAGGGAAATGCTGCCAGGGCCGGTGGGGGGATGAGGTGAGCCTCGGGAGAAGCTGAGGCCACTACAGTGAATGGAATGGCATCTTATGTGAGAGACAAGGAGGGCAGGGTTTCAAGACAAGTTGTAACAGCATCAGAGTAATTTCCTGAAAGGCCCAGTGTGCAGCGAGTAACCGGGTGTAACTGACGAACTGAAAACAGACCTGTGTCCTGTGTTGAGGACAACACGGGGAGATGCTGGGCAATCACTGCCTATTTCTCAGGTGCGATAATGACATCAGGTTATTTCTCTACAGGAGCCCTGTCTCTTAGGGGCACAGACGCAGAGAGAGGCAGCATGGGGGCGGTGAGGAGCAGCAGCAGAGTGCCATGACGCAGGCTGAGACCTCGGATAGGAGCAGGGGTTCACTGTACCATCATTCTCTCTGACTTTATATGTGCTGCCACGTGTCCAAAATGAAAACTCCTTTTAGAAAATAGGCTCTTCTAGTCAAATCTGATTCTAAAACACAGAAATCCCTCTGGGTCCAGGTGGCACACCTCTCTGCAGCATTATTTTTATAAGTTGAGGTTCTATATAAAATTAAAGGAATGAGATAAAAGCACAAAAGATGTGGCCATATCTACTGGAAGAACACAGCTGTGACTGGGACCCCAGGAAATGAGCCTCGTCACTACAATCTAGACCCAGCGCCAGGAGCTCTGACCTCCTAGAAAAAGCCCAAAAGTCAGATTACCCCCCACCCCCGAGGTCTACCTCATTCCCCGACACACACACAAAACAAAGCACTACAAACTAGGACAGTGTCCTGATACAGCATGTTACAGATTTCTGCACCTGCAAATAACACGTTAAACAGGCACACTCAGCTAACTCCTCTGGCAAACACACCCTCTTAAGAATGAGCCTTACCATAGGGTAAACAGTCATCACGTTTTCCATGCTTAAATATTTGTGCCTAAAAAAAAAAAGAAGTTCTATTAAAATGCTGCAGGTTCATTTACAAATTTAAAACAAACCAAAAAAATCAAAACAATCCTTTGCTCCTTCCAGAATTTCTCTTCTGGACACTCATCACCGAAAAGCAAGAGCAGCTTCTGAAGGAGATGAAAGAGGTCGCAGAGCTGGAGCCTCCAAAAGGGCACCGTAAATAAGGGTGCGGTCACGTATGGGCTTCATCGGGACACGTGCCCACAGGAAGTTATCAGGAGAGGAGATCCTGGGTACATAACGGCACCCACGGACTAAGCTGCAGGTCCGAGGGTGGCACACAAAGGTAGGGCACAGGACTGTGTCTGACGCCTCACCCATCCTCCGCCAACGAAGACACCCCCAGGTCCAGGCCTACCAGCCTCTCCACAGAGCCCACACACACAAACAGCGGCTGCTGTTTTAAACCACAGGCGTGGGGGTGACATAATGAACTCCCTACTTAGGGGCCACATGAGGGACTGAAACGTCTCCCTGCAGGCAAGGGGGCTACTGCCTAATCCTGGACACAGTGAGCCATAGATTCTAACTGGACAGACGTCAGTTGACACATGCGGTAAGGAGGGTACACAGAAGGGGATGAAACGAAGATGAGGCATTTCCAGGAAAGCTAATGAGAGGCTTGAAGTAGGACGGAAAGTGTGCAGGGAAGGACGGACAGACGCCCGATGGTTGGGAAAGAACGGACAGCACCAACTCCTGCTAAAGCACCCTCTGGTCTCACTCACTAAGCAAGAATCTGAAATGCTCTGAAATGCAAAATGCTCTCACAGGTGAACATTCTGTCTCTTTTTTTTTAATCCTCGACTGAGGATATGTTTTTATTGATTTTGAGAAAGAGGAGAAAGGCAAGAAAGAAAGGGGGAGAGAGAAAGGGAGAGATGTGAGAAACATCGATTGATCCGTTGCTCCTGAACATGCCTGACCAGGAATCGAACCTGTTTTTTTTTGTTTGTTTGTTTGTTTTTGTGTGTGTGTGTGTGTGTGTGTACAGAATGACGCTCCAACCAACTGAGCCACCTACCCAGAGCTAAACATTCTTTATTTGCCAAATTCCTGCCAGGAGCAGACCAGGAGGGCAGAAGGGGTGAAAAGAGAAGAAACAAACATCAATTAAGACAAGGACTTTGCTTTTGTTCATGAGTGTTTTTCACTTAAAAATGGGGCCGTTATCACCACCCTTCACCGAAGCGCTTTCTAAGACTGTGAGCTGAGCACCAGGAGGAAGCAGTCGGACAGAAGGCATCAGACTGAGCTGCGTGCGGAAAGCACGCCCGTCACAGAGGCCTGGGCACCGGCTGTGAGAGGAAGCAGCAGCACCACACGCTGAGAAATGCCCGCACCGTCTGTTGTGTTTAGAAACCAGCACAACTCAGGTGCAAACAGCTGAGTTTCCGGGTGATCATTCTAAACAGCCACCCTTTAGATTGCTAGCCTCCCGCTTCCCCTCCCCGGGGCATGTTCCCCGGCGGGTGAATCACAGTGTCAGCGGCTCAGGAGCAGGTCCACCCAGCTGCCAAGCAGGAGATGCTGGTCTGAGGTTCCCTGAAGCACCATCAAGTCAAGGCCAAGAAAAGCAGCTCCACCCCAGGCCCAGGGAGAAAGGGCCCCACGCACATAACTCATGGCGCCGTGAGTTCTCCTGTGAGGTGGTGCACCCTGGACCCCGCTGGGCACCTACTGCCCCGTGCCTGGCCCCTCAGGAGGAGCTCAGAGCAGACAGGACAGAGCTCGAGCGCACAGCTGCCTCATCCTGTGCTCCTGGTCTCACTCCAAGTTGAGAGGAGGTACCATGCCCTGTTGTGGCACATGACACACGAAGAGATGAAACAAACAGGAAGGCCGTCAGCACCCAAAGCAACCAGCTCCAGGCATGGCCCATGGCCCTCACCTGTGGGAAGAGCCCACCCAGGCCTCACTCTCCCTGCAGGCAGCAGGGCTGACCTGAGACTTTGTCCTTGACTCCTTCTCACAGAACCCCATCACTCCCGCCCGAGGCCCCCTCCAGCTGCTCCAGGTGAGAACCTTCCACTACCCCGACCGCAGCCTGGATCTCTGCTGACTTAAAAAATGAAAGTGAGGGGCATCTCAAAGAGCTCCCCCCTCTTACCCCCTCACCCTCCGCCGCCGCGGCCGCCACTGTCACCTCCCCAAGAAATCACAGCAGACTGACACTGGACAGAGAGCACAGCGCCAGGGCAGCCCGTGAGCACCAAGCCAGGAAAGGAGGGGAGCCTCACGGCACAGCACAGCACAGCCCAGCTCAGCCAGCACCCAGCACCCTGGTTTGCTGCAGGGCTGGGGAGGAGAGAGAAGCGACAGAAAGCACACAACTCGCCGAAACCGGTTTGGCTCAGTGGATAGAGCGTCGGCCTGCGGACTGAAAGGTCCTGGGTTCGATTCCAGTCAGGGGCATGTACGTTGATTGTGGGCACATCCCTGGTAGGAGGTGTGCAAGAGGCAGCTGGTCGATGTTTCTCTCTCATGGATGTTTCTAACTCTCTATCCCTCTCTCTTCCTCTCTGTAAAAAAATCAATAAAAATTAAAGAAAGCACACAACTCTGCACACAGGGTTGTGAAGCAGAGGTGCACAGGACCAAGGGGAGAAACAAAAAACTGAGGGGCAAGGGTGAATCAGGGGAGAAAAGTCAGCTGCCCACGGACAGGACCTGAGGAACACTTGCATCAGGGAAGGGCGAGGTCAGCAGGAACCATGCCCTTAAAAAGCCAGCCGCAAGCTGGAGGAAGAGGCAAGGCGCCCCCGGGGCTGCAGAGAAGGCCAGGGGCCAGGAACAGGGGCCACCGGCCGTGGGCCCTCTATGTGCTCCCCATGAGGGAGGCCCCTCGCTCTCCACACCTAGGCCCGGCCAGGCTGCCCGGGAGCAGACACCTGTCCGGCAGGGCCCGTAGCCTCAGCACACAGCAGGTGCACAGCCAGCCTGCCAGTGAAGTAAAGGCGTGCCCACAGCACACAGGTTTCAACAGGACTCATGGCACCCCGTGCTGCCTGCTCCATGGAGAGTTACATAAAATTAAAATAGTGTCAGAGGCGGCTACTCTGCATCTTTCATCCCCCGAGGAAACTGAGGATACCTCCTCCCCCACCCCAATTCTGTATTTGCCAATTCTAATGGTTCTCTTCAAATGGTTCTCTTCAGATGGTTCTCAGCACATTCTCCTTCACCTGCCCGGAAGCTTGCCCCAGGCTAGTGTTGTGACTAAGAAGCTCAATTTGGACAATTTGTCCTCTGGCCAAACTGAACCTTAAAGGAAACCACTGGGTGCTATTCTCCAAGGAAGCTAAAAGAAAAGAAATCAAAGCAGCCATGAGAACTGTTTTGGATAATCAAGTGGCTTCTTTTTATCTTCAAAGAGTCGACATACAGTAATTAGCCTTCACACCACCCTCTGAGCTAAGAGGTTTGTTATTTCCCTTCTACGGTGGGTGTGGAGCAAGGCCCTCACCTCTGCCTGGGGTCACTGGTGTTGCTACAGAGTCTCCAGGCTCCAGACTGGCCCACTTACATCAGCCTTCTTGGGGCAGCCAAGTGCCCAGGGCAGAGCCACTCCACTGGAGCTGGGAGGTCCAGGCTCTGGGCAGCTGCTCCCACCTGGGCAGAGGCTGTGGCACGGCCCCTCACAGGCTTTATACGTGGTTGTATGCTACCGTCTCCACTCTAACAAGAGGTAGCCCCTTGTGAAAGGGAGATGCCACCCTAACAGCTGGTGAACAGGAGAGCCGTCCGCGCCCCAGAGGGCAGCAGCAGCACTTCCCCTGGGAAGACCCTGGCTCTGGCAGGAGGCATTCCCACCCCTCCCACCCTTGCAGGAGGCAGACAGAATCTCCCATCACCCTGCACGCTGATATGGCAGCACCTCCACCAAGTGAGCATGGCCACCGCAGAGCCAAGTGACAGCCATTCTCCATTTTAACTTTTGTTCTCCTCCCCTGAATTTCCTCAGCTAGCATTAATCCTAACGTTTTGGTCGGGACTAAACCGAAGGTGCTTTAAAAGCTGGAGCAAAGGGCCTTGCAGTGCAATCAGGTTGCCAAACACTTATCTCCCTCCCACAGGAGTTAAAGATCATCGCTGCAAGAGGCATGTGCTTCAAGGGAAATACAAGTTAACTCCTAGTTTCGATGGTACTTGTTACGAGTTCACCTGTTTCGCCTAACCCACATAATGAACAGGTGGATAAAAACGAAGCCAAGTGCATCAAAGGCAGCAGCTGAAATCCTGAAGCACAACACGCCTGCAAGTCTCAGCATGCCCAGCAGACGCCCGGCCTCTGCAGTGCAGGTCTGACGAGCTCATGGCGAAACCGCTCGCTCGCCCAGGAGAGCTCTGCGCTCGGCTTGGCTTCCTCATGCCCAGGTGGCAGCAGCAGCAATTAGGCCAAACTGCTCCTTCAATTAAAGAAAAGGCACAAGACACAGCCCCAGAAAGACCCTAGACTTCCCAAAAGGGATGCGCCTGCCCTGCGGCCACAGCTCCCGGAAGTTTCAGGCGTTCACTTCCCAGGAACTCCACGGCTGCGTCAGGCAGTTGCTCACTCTCTCTAGCAGCTCGTCTCTCGGATTGCTGAGGTGCGGCCCACACACCACCCAGTGCCCTGCCTGGGGAGGGGGCACACCTTCCTCATCCTTTGCCCACACAGGGGTGAGGGCAGAAGGCTGGGCTTCTCTAAGCCTTGAGGAAGTCCCTCTATTCCTTTGGGAGAGGAAACAGAGGACTTCCCTCCGCCTAAGGATGGAACTCCGAGACAGCCAAATAAAGCGCACCCCTCCCCCCCACCCCGGCTGGTGGGGGCCACAGGAGAGAATGTCAGCCCCGCCCACGGCTGGAAGCAGGCGTGGTATTGTTGTTTAATGCCCGGGCCTGCCACTTGGGAATAAAAAAAACGAACAGAAAATGTGGGAACACTCTTGAGATATAGCAACAAGATGATCAACAAAAATGTGAGAAAAAAGAAACCTGTGGACAGAGGGGCCCCAGGACCTTCTCAAGCCAAGGAATATGCTTCAAGAGAAACAAAACTCAACTCCAAGTTTTCACAGCACTTGTTACAAGTTCACCTGTTCCACCTAACCCACACTAATGATCAGGTGGATGCAAATGAAGCCAGAGCCCAGAGACACGGAAGCCACTGGGGGCATTCTCACGGGGACTGAGCTCACAGGTCCCCCACCCTACCCCCACTGCCTGGCACAGGGACCCTGCCTCCCTGCCTGCAGGTGCTTAGGGTGATGCCACACTCGGGAGAGTCTGCCAGTCTCCCGGACAGGCCACAGTGGATGGACTGACAGGCCCCAGCTACTCTTTGTCAGACCTGCCATGGTTTTCCATGACCTAACACTTCTTAATGTGACTCATGCAAAAAAATTAGGACTCCACTTAGACCCAAATCTTCAAATAAACCCTCTCAACCCCATCCACCCTCCTTCACCAGAATTACCTCCAGCATAAATGCATTGCCTCAGGATCCACGCCACAATGGCCCAGTGGGCACATGCCATGACCTGCACCACCCTCTCCCTGCACTCCACACTGGGCAGCCTCCCAGGAGAGCCTCCCCCTGGCCAACTTCCATCACTGCAATTAAACCGAAAATCCCAGTAAAATCCTAACCACGGCCACCACCCCCTCCCCCACCACGCCGCTGGAATGAGAGCCCCTGAGGGCACAGGCAGTGTATCTACCCAAGCAGAAAACCCCGTGCTCATCAATACGACAGATGTGCAGACAAAATTTTAAAGACCTCATAAACAAAAACACTTAATTACATTGTTTTTAGAAAACTATTGTTACCTACCCAAGAAAACTGAATATACACGCTCAAACTCAAGTTCAGATTGGCATTAGCCACAACCACAAGAGCTAAGCGCCGGAAGTGGACTATCTTCCAGGCGTGAGAAGGAAGGAAGCTGAAGGCACCATGTGGGTGAGCCTGACAGCATCACATCCCACTAACTGAGAGGAGCCAGACCCTGAGGCTAAGGACGCAGTGTAGGCTTCCATCTGTGAGGCGCCCAGAAAACAGGAGCCCACAGGGGGCTGAGGCAAGGGTGGGGGAGACTGTTGATGAGTGTGGAGTTTCCTTATGGGGTGATGAGAATATTCTGGAATTAGATGTATAGTTCAGTGAATCTACCACCACCACAACAGTTTTTTTAAAGTTGAAATAGAGCATATATCTATTCATAGAATAGGAAAAAAGCATGAAAAACACATTACTTCAACAGGAAGTCTGGAAATGTTTTATTTTTTCCAGATTTTTTTTTTTTTTTTTTTTTTTTTTTTTTTTTTTTACTAATTTCAGAGAGGAAGGGAGAGGGAGAGAGAGGTAGAAATATCAATGATGAGAGAGAATCATGGATCGGCTGCCTCCTGCATGTCCCACGCTTAGGACCGAGCCCACAACCTGGGCACATGCCCTGACCGGGAATCGAACCATGACCTTCTGGGTCATAGATCAGCGCTCGACCACTGAGCCACGCATTTTCTTTAAATGTCTCAAATATTCTCATCATTTGAATGGCAATCCCTCCTGAAGACAATGGTAACGTGAATGAAACAGGTGCCGAGAACATTTCTGAGAGACCAAGTGGTCACCTCCCTCGGTGCCCAGAGCGTTGGGGAGAAAGGGCTTTCCTTGCGAGGGGCCCCTGGCAGGCCAGCCATCACCAGCTTACCTCCCACATCCCGTGCCCACTGCCTGGGTAATTACACCATCGCCCCACTTTCCACCAGGCCTCCTGGCCTCCTACACCTCATCAGAACCTGCAGCAGCCAATGACAGCCGACAACACCCAAGAACATGACATCACACTGAGTCACGGGTCCAAACACCTCCACTTAAACAGTCCAAAGTGTCCTGTTCTCCTGAAAGTGGGCCGTCGGCTCTACAGCCGAGGGCAGGACCCACATCACCCCCACACCACCCACTGCAATCACAGAGCAGGAGGTGGAGCACCACAGCTGCAGGGGGGAGCCAGTGCGAGAGCTTCATGCATGGGCAGCCCCTCTTCTAGGAAACTTTCCTCATTAGTTAAAAGCAGGACAGCCAGCAAAGGGTAGATGTCAGCTCTGCATTTAAGCCAGTTGTTACAAACACCCTAACCTGAGTATCTGCACAAAGTCAAGTTTTAAATCACCTGGCTGATTTCATTAGAGGCGTGCCAATAATGATACTCCCTTTCAGCAGGAAACCCCAGAAGGACATGCCTGTCAGCCCGCCCATGGGCCTGCTCGCCCAGCTCCTTGGGCACCACTGCCCCCTGGCGGCAACTCGCAGGCCGGCGCAGGCCGGCGCAGCCCATCTCCACTGGAGCAGAAAGCCCTCGCTGACAAGCCACGGCCAGCCCTGGGCAGGCCGAAGGTCCAGTCCAAAGCAGAGAAAAAGGTACTTGGTTCACTGTCCTGTCAGGGCTGAATACCTTCCTGTGTTCCAAGTACTTCAGAACAGAGTCAGGTCAACAGAATTTGACCACTAAAGAGTCCCCCTCACCCCAGGCGAGTTTACCAGGGCCTGCAGCATCCCGTCCATGGTGATGACGCCCTCGATGGTCTGGAAGGAGGAACGGGCCAAAGTGCACAGGCTCCAGTCCAGGAAATCTGCCATCTTCTGTTTGACATCAGGCCGTGTGATAAACCTGCCAGAAGGGAACACAGGCAAGTCGCAGCTCAGCCCAGGCCCAGCCTAGGAGAACTCACCAACACCCCAATCTAGGAAACGCAGACACTGCCCAGTCTGAGGTCCTCAGGCAACAATTCCCCACCAAGACCTCTCTGAAGTCACTCGCAGTCCTCCACCCCCATCTCCTCCCCACAGGGCCTCCACTCATGCCAAGGTCCCAGTCACCACAAGACGACCTTTACCTTTCCCCATGGCTGCACTGAGCCCCACCAATGTCCACTACTCCGCTCCCACTCCTCCCCGGAATGCCATGCCCCCACACGCAAGGCCTGGCCCAGCAGCTGAGCCCAGGTCGCTCTCCCTGCATCTGCCATGGGTCTCCCTTCCCCATCATAGAGCTCCAGCTGATGTCCGCAGCCCCACATCCCTGCCATCTGCTCAGCTCTCCACCCTCAGAATGCAGATGGCTGTGCTGGCTCTCCCCCATCCTCTTACACACCTGGGCTGGGCTGGCAGCCACCCTCTAGCTCCCACACCAAAGTCCAAGAACTCTATTCCTCCCACCCCGTCCACACACCAATCCCCCAGCTCTGACTCTGGCTCAGGCTGAGCCCCTGCCTCTGAGGGGAGCTTACAGTCGGGGGGCAGAAACATAGGAAACAAGCAAATAACATGAAGAAAGCAGCTGGGTAAGGGGATAATGGGAGACAGTGCAGCCTCCAAGAGGAACAAGGACATGTGACCAGAGAATGTCAGAAGGAGGCCACTGTAAGGACCTCACACTCCCCTCAGCAGCCCCACGGAACACACTGAAGGATGGCGGATCCTAGCGACGTGGAAGCACAAGCTCGGGGTTCAGGCTTGATACCTGGTAGGGGGCTTGCAGGAGGCAGCCAATCAAGTTTGCCTTCTCACATTGGTGTTTCTCCCTTCCCCACCTCTCTCTAAAATTCAATGAACTATTTTTTAAAAAGAAGTATGTTTACAGGAGAGGTCCCCAAAACACAGATAAACAAAAATGGAAAAGATGTCTACCTCACAGATAAAAACACATATTTATAGGAACAGGATTCTTCTGTACAGAGATCTTTGAATCCTCCACTTCCTTCCCTTTTAGAAGTGATATCACAGCCCCACCTGCTCAGCCTACAGTGCAGGCATCTTAGAGATAAGTAAGCCCCAGAAGAACAACTAGAACAATTACCAGCAAAACCTTAACTACAGAACTAGACATATCAGAGGAACAAAGGATGCCTCGAGCAAAGCACCACATACTGATAACTCAGTAACCTGGTCTAAGAGGGCAGCAGCAAAGGTAAGGTGACAAGTCCTTAAGAGCTTAGGTGGTTTTTTTGTTTGTTTGTTTGTTTTTCACATCTGAGCATTTCACTGGACATGGCTCTGGTTCCATAGAAAAAAATCTCAGAGCACACAGTAACCCCACAGCAACCTCTAAAGATTATTAAAGCTGAGAGACAGGAGGGCTGCTCCAGACGTGCAAACAGGTCAAATCTTTAGAAACAAACATCCAGTGAAAACGACAACTCAAATCCATCCCTATACACAGAGCACTCTGAGGCAAGGAAATGGGTGAGGGTGGCCAGAAGTCACCTCCTCACTGGTCAAGGGACCTGGAATGAGGAAGGTGGTCTTTACAGCATATTCTGTAGCTGGTGGGCTTAGAGAGGAGCTACTTTTTTTTTTTTTAATATATTTTATTGATTTTTTTACAGAGAGGAAGAGAGAGAGATAGAGAGTTAGAAACATCGATGAGAGAGAGTCATCGATCAGCTGCCTCTTGCACATCCCCTACTGGTGATGAGCCCGCAACCAAGGTACATGCCCTTGACCGGAATCCAACCTGGGACCTTTTAGTCCGCAGGCCAACGCTCTATCCACTGAGCCAAACCGGTTTCGGCGAGATGAGCTACTTTGTGGAGAGGGTGAGACCCAGCACCTCTGCAAAAATGAGGATCAAGATCATGTCCACATGCCGAAACCGGTTTGGCTCAATGGATAGAATCAATCAGAACAGTACAAAGCTTTATGCAGGATGTGCACGTCGGTATTAATTTTACTAACCAAGTGGCGGGGTAGCAGCCTACGTGGACAACAGGAGGCTGGAAAAACCACATTCACACCGTAACCAGGAGGCAGAGACTGAAGGGAACTCCAGGCCTGTTGGCACCTGGTACAGCACCCATGGGCACCAACACATCTGCAGACAAGCACCCACACACAGGGGCAGGACAAAGGACAAAAGCAGTTCCATCCGGGGAGATGGAAGTACATGCGAATTCTATTTTGCATTTTGTGCTCTTCTTTATTTTCCAAAACACACACGATCACTTTTACAATCAGAAACCAATAAGCCACCTTCCAATCCTTGTCAAAGCCGTGGGGCCTCTGCCTGGCAAGCGTTTCACGCAGCTCACTCCTAAAACCAGCTTCCTTGTTCAGGCTTCTTACCTCCTGTGGCTCAGCAAGTGCCTTCACAGATCTCTCTCCCAGTGCCCCTAAGTGCCCTCTGAATTAAATGTTTCACTTCCCACTCTGTGCAAGGAGGTCATACCTACAAGGTGAACCAGAATCTCTAAATGAGGTGTGGCCCATTTCCCAATCAGAATATCCACAAGTTTTTAGAGCCAATTTCCAACTTTCACAAATATAGAGGAAACCCAAAAAGCCAAGTTTTCTAATGTGCTTTCTCTACATTTTACACCATGTCATACAAAGGACTTAGAAAAAACGGCGTCCTTCCATCCTTTCGTGTCAGCTTCCGCACATACTGGGCCCACTGCCTGGGACGGCTTCCCCAGCTCATCAAACAGAGCCATCCCATCTGCTGAGGCCTGGCCCATTGTTGAGTTAACCTAGGTGATTGGGGATTTTTATCCCAAGCCCCAGTGACCCAATCACAGCTCATGATCTGCAGTGAACTGCTTTCTAAGTGACTTTCAAACTGCCACCACCCCAAAGGTGAGCTCATGCCCAAGTATAACTGCTATACCTATTCTAAATCTGCCCTCTGCTCAGTTGATGAGCCTATCAGGTGGCCTCCTTGAACCCATAACCCAGTCTCAGGACTTCTGTAAGCCACTAACCCATAGTTGGGTGACCGGCTCAATCCTGACCCAGGATATGATAACCTGTGAACCCCGGCCCACTATCAGGTGACTGATGACACCCTAGCTCATAACAAGTGACCTGTGAGACCCTAACCCAGCATCAGATGACCTAACTGGCACTGTCAGTGGTCATGAGGTTCACAAATCTCCCACACCCAAACAGAGCTGGTGCTTCCTCAAAGAGACATAACTAGGGAAGAGAAAACACCTCCCCAGACCCGTCAATGCAGGGGACAACACAGACACACAGGTAACACAGTATCCTATCCTATATAAGGATAAAAGGCTAATATAAAGATACAAATTGTCCCCTTGGGAGTTTGACTGGCAGACTGGGAGTTTTATCACTTGCTATGACATATGCTGACACGGAACATGGTGGGCAACCAGTAGCAGAGGCAGGGCGCTGAGGGAGCAAAGGAAGGAAGAGGTGGGGAGCCGGGTGATGGTGTGAGGGCGGCAAGGGAAGGAGGAAGCGGGGAGGTGGGGAACCTGCTTGGCCCTGATCGCTAGGCCAGGTCTTTGCACAAATTTCGTGCAGCAGGCCTCTTGGGTAAGATAAACCCCTCAGGAGGCAGCAGTCACACAGCAACTCACAGGGCTGCAGGAAGGCAAATGGGCACTTACTTGGACACAAGGACGGCAGCCGCATCTCGCGCCTTGTCACTGACCACCAAGTAGGACTACAAGAAAGCATAAAAGAGAGGTGCCGTTACACACAGAATACTTCTCAGAGGCTGCTTCCCGAGAGCCCAATGCATGAAGCTCACAGACAGAGGCCGAATGCCAAAGCTGCAGAAACCTCTCAGAACGTCAACTAAAGCTGCAGCTGCTAAGTGCTGTGCTCACCTCAGGCGAGCACCAAACCACACAAAGCATGTGTCAGAGCCCTAGAAAGATATTTGCAAAACTAGCAGGAAAATGCACGTGTGCTACCCCGTAACAATCAGTGTCCACAGGGCACATTTGGGACCCAAGAGCATTTAGTATCAGGACAGTTAGGAGGCCTCACGCAAACAGAGGGCCCCTGGGCTTAATTCAAACGACTAGAAAGCCCGCCTTTGAGGTTTCCAATTCTCATCTCAACTAATTTTTTTCCAAATAACTCTCTTAAAAGAGCTTTTCTCTGGAGCAGGCTTTCTGGAGAACCGCACACAGTACAAATGGTTACAAGTGAGCCGCCCTTCACCCGGCAATCCCGCCCCGCACACAGCACACAGGGACCCGAGGTGTTCACCGCCACCTGCTGTGACAGAGCACACGGAGAACCAGTGTCCTCTGTGAGAGAATATGTTAGCACTGGGTACGATGGAGCACCTTTTTCCTTAAAGATTACGAGGGTGACATCTGACACAGGACATCAGGATGTGCTGCCAAGGCCCTGCCCCACGGGCAGAGAGGAGCACCGTAAAAAGCACAGGCTCCAGAGCGAAGCTGCCAAAGGTGGGTCCCGTCATGAGGAAATGAACCAGCTAAGCTACTTACCCTGTGCCTGTTGTCTCCTCAGCAAACTGATTAACACAGTGAACTGACTCATTACGAAGGATTAAATGAGTTAATATAAGAAAAGCCATCAGCCCAGGTTCTGCACACAATGGTGCTCAAATGAATGCTTGGCATTCAGCAGACTACAAGGTGGCCCCTGGTCCTGCCTGCGGCACTGGCACCCTGTGCAATCCCTCCCAATGGGTTAAACGCACTATTTGCTTCAAACCAAGAGAATGTGTGGGGAGAGGTGGAGATGGATATCACTCCATGACAGTAACACGTCACTGTGACTGCATCTTGCCAGCAGAGCCTGGCCTTGCTGACTCTGACAGAATAAGCTGTCCTTTGGGAAGCCATGTGTATGGAAGAGTCAACAAAGAATGAAGGCCCTTGATCCACCAGCCTAAGGGTCTGATTTCTGCCACCAACCAGGAGAGCTCAGAAGCATACCCTGCCCCAGGTGCCTGACTGCAACCCAGGGAGACCTCCGAGTAGAAGGCAGAGCAGCCAAGCCCAGCGTCCCAATCCACTGAGTCTGAGATGACTCTCATGTTCAACTACTCAAGTTCAGGGTAAGCCTTTAAGCAGCAGTAGATAAATACATAATAATCAATATGCACAGCCAAAACCGGTTTGGCTCAGTGGACAGAGCGTCGGCCTGCAGACTGAAAGGTCCCAGGTTCAACTCCGGTCAAGGCATGTACCTTGGTTGCAGGCACATCCCCAGTAGGGGGTGTGCAAGAGGCAGCTGATCGATGTTTCTCGCTCAATGATGTTTCTAGCTTTCTATCCCTCTCTCTTCCTCTCTGTAAAAACTCAATAAAATATATATATATTTTTAAATCAATATGCACAATATTTACATCAGGTGTTTGAAGACTATATAAAAGTGTTATCTCCTGGCACTAGAATTTGAGAGATTTTATTATCTTTGATGCTTCTCTATTTTCTAGTTTTTCTAAAATGTATTATCAATATGACATTAAGATTTATATTTAAATAGACCTTTATTTTATCTTACCAAATGCCACTTGAAACCTTTTATATGTCATTATTATGGTTAGAGTATTTGCAATATCTACAAGGAAATGAAATTTGCTAAAATAAATCATTCTGATCCCTATATGAATTTGGAAACCACAGTTTCCAAATAAGTAATGAAATTTTACCTCTGAAAAATAGTAACAGCAACTGCAGAAATATAGAAGTGTCAAGAGCATACCTAAGGAAACACTAATATCAAGACAGCATGAGCACAAAAGAGCACTAATTTTTGGTAATTACTAGTACAACAGACTCACCTGTGCTATTTGGAGGATACGGTCGGTTATGGACATTCGTGTTTGCCCTGGTTGGGTGTGAAGGTTCCCATCAAGGCGTGTAAAATCGAAAGGGATCAGGCAGGTCATAGAGAGCCACAGTAGAAGCATGTAACGGGTCTCCCAAGTCTAAGGAGTTAAACCAAAATAACACGATTCCTGTATAAAGGAGGGAGGTAACCACATGCCCCGATCACAAACCTGGTACCCTCCCTGCCCACTCAATGCCCACTGCAGGCCCCTCAAACACCACTGACCTGAGCCTGGGGTCCAGACCATCGCTAGCTTCTCCTCTGACTTCCCCATACCCCACCATACTACACACACCCTCCTCATGCAAACTTGGCCACCATAGCAGACCAAAGAAACAGCAAAGTGGACAAAGGAAAATCATAACACATCAGTATAACAGCTTTTCTTCATGCAATCAGCCTTTGGAGAAAGTAGAAAGCACACAAAAACAGAAGACAAGAAAAAAAATCTCAACTTCCAATCAAAGACAAGTGTCCAGAATTTCAGCAGTCACTGAAGCAAGACTCCAATTTGGCCCTGCAATCTCCTTCTCTGCAAGAAGCAGAGGAGCGCTAACGGATTTGGCTCAGTGGGTAGAGCTGCTCTCCTCAGAAAGGCTGGTGTCCAGGGCAGCCACCATGCCCATCAGGAAGCCCACCGTTCCCTCACTAACAAGGGGGCCCACTGTGCCTAGATTGGCTGCACAAACCATGAGGCTTATGCTGAACACCTGCTTTCCTCCGGGAGCCTGAGGGTACACGATACCCTCAGCAGAGCGCCTACAAGACCAGCCCCCACAGAAACCATGGTTCTGGTCTCCACGAACTTCTGTGGGGACTCTTCACACATACGGTCACCACTCCGTGCTGGGGAATTACAGGTATTCTAGGGGACCCATCCAGGGAGAACTGACATTCACTGAGCATAATACTTTCCATATAGGCTATTTCAAGTTAAAGAAAAGTGGATGTTAACAGGGTTATCACCACACTGTGTCTGCGTATTTTCTTTATAAAAGGCATTATTAAAAAAAAAAAAAAAAAAAAAAGATAACTTAAAGAAACATAAAAAAAAGAGAAAGCCAAAGGAATACAAGAGTGACACTAAACAGCATAGTAAGGTGAGACATAACAAGACAGGCAGATGACGGTGCAGGAGGGGAAAGGGGGCACCAACAAGGGGAGAAAGGAGAGGAGAGAACAAGAGGAGGCGGCAAGGAATACTCACTTCATGGTCCTTTGGGTTCTGATTTGTAAACATGTCTAAAACAGGCTGCACATCAGCTACTTCATGAGGAAATAAACGAAGAAATGTCTTATATCCTCGAACCTACCCAATTTAAAAAAAAAAAAGGCATTGATTATATAATTAAGAAAATAAAGAAAAAATATTTTTTTTCCTCATCAAAAATTACCACCAAGTCCTGGCTGGTGTAGGTAGCTCAGTTGATTAGAGCCAAGTTACAGGTTGGATCCCCAGGCAGGGCACATACTAACTAGTACAAGAATCAGCCAATGAGTGCATAAATAAGTACACAACACATCGATGTTTCTCTTTCCCCTCGCACCTTCCTCTCTCTCTAAAATCAATAAATAAAGTAGCCCAATCAGTGTGACCCAAGAATCAAGAGGTGGTGGGTTCAATTCCTGGTCAGGGCAAATGCCCAGGTTATGGGCTCGATCCCCAGTGTGGGATGTGCAAGAGAGAGCCAATCAATGATTCTCATTATTGATGTTTCTGTCTCTCTCTCCCTCTCCTTTCCTCTCTGAAATCAATAAAAATATATTTAAAAACAAATAAAATTTTAAAAATAAAAACGAATCAATAAAGTGAAAAATCACCACCTGTGCCACCCAATGATCAGAAATACATTACATTACAGTGATACGACTCATCGAGCTGCAGAGAAGTGTGCACCCTCACTGGCCACGTGCCCCTGTCCATCATACAGCAGGCATCACTGCAATGTGCAGACCAGAGAAACACAAACCCCACCATGAGAGGCTCTGCATCACTCCCATGGCGAAAATGCAAACAGTAAATGCAGGCCAGCACACAGACACACCTGGGGCTTATTGGGATGCAGACTATCAGGCCCCACCCGAGGCAAACTTAGGAAGAACCTTCATTACAAGGTCCCCAGGAAACGCGCCTGTGCATCAAAGTTTGAGAAGTGCTTTCGTTTCCATGTTTGTTTGCTTTTTCCTTGTAAAAATCAGTCATCTCCTCTATTTCTAGTTAGGTGGTACTTGATCTACTCAAATGCAAATGATAAATACTTTGGATATTGTTGCAGCCAAAAGAACCCCTGGATCACTAAATATGGGTCCCAAAAATACGGTGAAATGAGAAAATAGCCCTTGCCAGTGTGGCCCAGTTGGCTGTGCGTCCTCCCATGCACTGAAAGGTTGCTGGTCTGATTCCCATTTAGGGCACATGCCCTGGTTTCAGGCTCAGCCCCCAGTAAGGGACATGCAAGAGGCACCTGATGGACACTTCGCTCTCACATCATTGCTTTTATCTTTCTCTCCCTCTCCAAAACTCAATTAAAAATCTTTTTTTCTTAAAAAAGGCGGGGGGGGGGGGAATAAAACACAAATTTATGTGTGAAAATCATCTTTCCCAAGAAAAAACATTTTGGAAGGTAACTTCTGGACCAGGTATATTAAGAAAGTGTTGTCAAAAAACAAACAAAAAAAACAAACAAGTTTTAAAGAGTGTTCTGTCAACTTAAAGTGCAATGCAAATGTTACCTTGGTGATGATATAAAGAAATTTAAAAGCCAGATGAACGAGGTCAGCTGGAGATGTCTTATCTTGCACTGTTTCCAACAACAAGTTCATCATCCATTCTAGAGAAAAAGAAATACAAAACATTTGCTATAAAATTAAACATTAATATGACATTAAAACAAAATACCCAAAGAAAAAGGGGTTAATTTAGGCAAATTATAGAGCAAAAACTGACAAGTGAAAGGAGAACTTGGCAAACGTATAACTTAAAGATTTCTATCTTCCTCTCAGATTTAATAGAACAGATGAGAAGAAAATCAGTAAGGCATGATCAACTCAACAGATGCAGAAAATGCACCTAACAAAATTCCCACTCAACAAAGTGGGAATAGAGGGAGCATATCTCAACATGGTAAAGGCCTATATGACAAGCCCATAGCTATTATCTCCCCCAGCCAAGGATTAGTCTCGCCTGCAACAAGAGAGTTCAGAAAGCTTACCTTCCACAAAACCTTTGGGTTATTTGAAGAACAGCACCAGCCCACTTTTTAGAAGTCACAGGTGTACACAATAAGGTTAACTCTTCCTGCCTACACATTCCCAGTTCACATCTTTAAACCTCACAGCCCTGCTAACAAGTAAGACCCAGGCACTTCATCCTGACACCCTCTGATGGCAAGCACGCATACACACCACAAGCCTGCGTGCACACCAAAGCTTATGTGGTCATCAGGAACTGGAGGACCAAAATCAGAGTCAGCAGCCTATTCATTCTTACCAAGGTGTGGGTCCAACAGGTGAGGCTGCTGCTGGTACTTGTCCATTATCACTAAAGACAAGAATGTGAGCATTAATATCACCAATAACATCACAATAAAGACAAACGCACAGGCGCCTCAGAACCCTCCGTTTCCCTCCTGGGCCCCAGCATTGCAGCTCCCAAGGCACAGGACACCTGGGTGAGCGCCTCCTGTTCTGGGCCTGCTGGGCACACCTTCCTCCCCCTCCTCGGACCTTCTTCTAGAGCCCGGCTTAGTTCTCCCTTCCTTCAACACACACCTCCCGCCCCCTTAAGGTCCCCTCCAGCATCCCCCAGCTGGTGCAATCCGGCTGCACGACCTGGCAGATCTCCTCATCCCCACGTGCCCCCAGCCCTCCAGCCTCGCCGCAGAGCCGCCTTCACACCAGGCGGCCTGTTTCTACTCCTCCCGGAGGGCACAACTGCTACCAGAGGCAACGGCCCCTCACCTACGGCATTCTCACCTGCACACCCCTCCACATGGGACCACTTCCCAGAGATGGAGAGGGGCTTCCCCTGGCCCCTGGCCCCTGGCCACCCACCTCACCCTCCAGATAGTTCTGTACACAAGATCCTGTTTGTGCTGACCCCGCTGACAGCCACAGACTCGCCCACGGGAACTGGGTCCCTGGGTTCGAATCCTGGTGGGTCCCAGCGCCTAAGCACAGGCTGCTTCCATGCAGCCGGCCACAGAGCCCCTCGCGTGAGCTCAGGGACCCACAAACGTGGTTTTACTGAATCACACCAAACCCTAGATCATGAGCTCTGGGTCCTGAGGAACCATTTCATTGCCCCTTACACACTAAAAAAACAACTGCAGACTCGGAAAACTTACATCACCCAGGGCCCTGCCATGAGCGCTGCCCACCACCCCAGCTCCCTGGAGAGGCTCCTGCACGGGCCGGGCCTGTCAGCTGGGGGTGTCCCCGGACTGCAGCCGCACCAAGCCCTGCGCCTCCCGCCTCCCGGGACAGAGCTGTGATCTTCGGTCGGCGCTCAATAACAACAGGCGGGTGCGGAGAAAAGACAGGTGCCCGCCCGCAGGGCTCAGTGGCTGAGCATCGCCCTCCCAACCAGGAGGTCAGGGTTCAATTCCCGGTGCGGGCACATGCCGGCTCCATCCCCAGGGGGGCGTGCAGGAGGCAGCCGGGCCACAGTTCTCTCTCATCACTGATGCTTCTCTCTCCCCCTCTCCCTTCCTCTCTGAAATCGATAAAAACAAAGACACCGAGGTTAGTCCGTTAAACGCCGGGAGCCGTCGCTGCGGGGGTGCTGGGGCTTCAGGAGACTCCGGTCCTCCGGGGACCAAGCCCGGCAGGGACCCCGGCGCCGCCGCACCTCAGCGACCAGGAGGGCACCAGCTCCGCGCGCACCGGGATGGGCACCGGGACGGGCACCAGGCCAGCGACACCCTGTCCCTCCCCTTCGGCTGCAGCCGGTGAGACTTTTGCAAAGTAGCGAGCAGCCTCCCTCCCTAACAGGAGCCGGGAGGGGCGGGCCGCGGGCCGCTGCGGAGGGTTTGGCTGCGCATCCGCCTCGCCCACCTCCTCGCACTCCCGGCTCCCCGCCCCGGCTGTGGCCCGGGCTGTGGCCCCGGCTGTGGCCCGGCTGAGGCCGCAGGGCGGGGACGGCCCACAGGAGGGGGTTCGGCCCCAGGACCACCCCGCGTCCAGGCCCCGATCGTGCCCTCGGCCCGGGGCAGCCGCCCGGCGCGGCACGGGCTCCCCCGGGGGCGGGGGCGGGGGCGTGTCTGGGGCCGGAGCCGCTGGCGGCGGAGCGGGCCGGGGTCCCGCCCAGAGCCGCCCCGCGGGCAGCGCCGGCCCCTCCCCGCCCGCCCGGCCGCACGCACCCCGGAAGCGCTGCAGGGCGCTCTCCCGCGCCGCGCGGTCCCCCAGCAGCTCGGGCAGGCGGCCCAGCAGCGCGCGCGTCTCCGCGCTGTCGCCGAACGCCTCGAAGGTGCCGCCGCGGGCCGGGGCGCCGTCCTCCGGCGAGTCCTCCGGGGCGCCCGCGGCCGGCTCCGGATTCACGCCCATCCCCGCGCTGAGGGGGAGCCGCCCCGGTGAGTCGGTGGGATGCACGGGCGGACGGCGCTGAGGCGACCGGGCTGAGACGGCGAGGAGCCGCGGAGCGAGCAGCGACGAAGACCCCGCCCCGTGACCTCCGACCTCACGCGCTGGGCCCGCTACGGCGCGCGGTCTGCGTGAGAGCCGGGGGCGGGGCCGGAGAGCCGGGGGCGGGGCCGGGCGGGGCCGGAGGGCCGGGCTGGGGCGAGGCGGGGGCGGGGCCGGGAGGATCGCGCCCAGAAGGCCTCCGCCGGGGCGTGCGCAGTGGAGTCCGAGCGGGTCCAGCTTTGGGCCAGTGGAGGGGGCGGAGTCAATGGGGGGGTCTGGACTCTGGGCTTGAGGGTGGGCCGGAGTCGAGGGTCTTACTAGTTCTGACCATGATGGCAGTGTGTTCTTGTTTTGTTTAACTATACATATTTTATATATATATATATATATATTTTATTGATTTTTTACAGAGAGGAAAGGAGATAGTTAGAAACGTTGATGCGGCTGCGGAGGGTTTGGCTGCGCACCCGACCAGCTGCCTCTTGCACACCCACTACCGGGGATGTGCCCGCAACCAATGTATTATACATGCCCTTGACCGGAATCGAACCTGGGTCCTTTCAGTCCGCAGACCCACGCTCTACCGCTGAGCCAAACCGGCTTTGGCTAATTATATTTTTTTATTGATTTCAGAGAGGAAGGAAGAAGAGAGAGAGAGATAGAAACATCAATGCCCTCTGCACACCCCCGACTGGGGATGAAGCTGACAACCCCAGGCATGTGCCCTTGGTTGGAATCGAACCCGGGACCCTTCAGTTCACAGGCTGACGCTCTATCCACTGAGCAAAACCGGCTAGGGTGGCAGTTTGTATTTGAGACCGTCAGGTGTTTGGAAGGAAGCCTTTGGGGTGGATTTCTTTCTAGAAAGCTTTCAACAGGCTCCTATGTCTCAAGGGCACATGCCTGGGTTGTGGGCTTGATCCCCAGTAGGGGGCGTGCAGGAGACAGCCACTCAGTGAATTTCTTTCATCATTGATGTTTCTCTCTCCCTCTCCCTTCATCTCTGAAGTAAAAAAAAAAAAAAAAAAAAAAAAAAATGTATTTAAAACTCATGGAGCACAACTCACGGTTCCCCACACTGCCTGAGCTAAAACAGGAGGATGGGGCACCATTCTCTGCCTAAGCAAACCCCAAATCTATGTCAGTTTCTATACAATTATGATGAAAATATCCAAACTTTAAACATCCCCCAGGCTGATGTGTAAAGAGCCGGTTGGAGCCCTCTCAGGTGGTCTGGGCACCCTGTAAACTACCCCAAAGGCATGGAGGGTGGAGACACAGTTAAGACTCACAGCAGTTCCGTCCCAAAGCCCCCACCCCCCACCCCCGCTGGCTTTAATAGCCCCTGCAGTGGCCTCTGCTGTTGCTGCCCCTGGTATTTGCTAAGCGGGCGGGCAGGTGGGCAGGGGCACAGGTGGGCTGCTACTTGAGAAGCTTCCTCATGGTGCCCAGGGTCGGGCTCCTGTACTCCCTCCCAAAGTGGTTCCAGTGGTTCAGGTAGTTGAAGAGCTGGTAGAGCAGCTGCCGCTGCTCGAACCCGGGAGCCTTGGGGATCTTCTGGTGGTAGGCGGTGAAGAAGGGCCTGGGGAAGCCCCCGAACATCAGGGCGATTGCCAGTTCAAACTCGGAGTGGCCATAGAAGGACGCTGGGTCGTAAATAAGGGGGCCCGAGTTGTCCTCTGCCACGTTTCCTGACCAGAAATCCCCGTGGAGAAGAGCGGGGACAATCTCGAGGCCCCTAAACAGATCCGGGATCTTCACCTAAGGAAGTAATATTGGACACACAGTTATGGGACTCTGAGCCACGGCTTCCTCATGCAACCCGGGGAACATGGCAAAGATGTCCTCGTGTTTGTCCCGTGTCCAAGCAAGCCCAGGGCAGTGCAACTTGGTCTTACTATCGACTAGACTCAGGCCCGAAGCTCCATGACACTAATGATTTACATACGGGGTCAAACCCCAGAGGTGATGGTTTTTTCTCCTGTAGAATAGAAACCTGAACTGTATAGCCTGAGTGAAGGTTTTTGTTTTTTGTATCTAACTTAGCAAACTTTCTCCACTGTTCTTTCATTTCACACGACACCTCTTTTGTATCCCATCGGTTACTTCATTAAGGAGCTAAATAGGCCCAGAGAGTGTGGCTCAGTGGTTGATCCCCAGTGGGGGGCCTGCAGGAGGCAACAGATCAGTGAGTCTCTCTCATCAGTGATGTTTCTATCTCTCTCTCTCTCCCTTTTTTAAAGAGTTAAATGATAGTTCTTCAATGCATGCTCTAGATTGTCCTGAGAGTTCCTGTATTTCACATTTTGGGTGTTGCTTTGAAACCAGTTCCTCGGGCATCTTCTGCCCACATCTGCTCTAAGATGTAAAACGTTCATGCAGAAAAGGGTAAAAGTGGGCAAGAAAGTAATAGTAAATGCCACCATTTACGATCCCAGTACCTGTGTTTCACATGAACAAAATCTGAGGTGTAAGAACCCAGTGACCCCGGGGGTTAGAGGTACACTCAGGGGCTGAGAGTGTGTCTCCATCGGGCCAAGAGGCGCCATGTGTCCTGGACTTGATCAGCTCCTTTCCAGGCTCAGGGTCCCAACTCCAGAAGGCCCCACATAAATGTGGTGGCTCACGGGGGACAGCCCCTCTCTCGGAGAACCCCCGCTGTGCCCACCTGTAGCTGCGACCAGAGATCTCGCGTCTCTCGATCAGCATAGTCCTTCTCAATGAGGTCCAGCTGTGCTTGGAGCCGGTGCCGGGTGAAGAAGGTCGACCAGTCGTCCTGCCACTCATTCACCTGCGCAGCAAGGGAAAGGAGGTGGATGCTGCGGGTGGTGGTCACAGGGCAGTTATACACGTGATTTGCCTAAACCCTAGATCAGCGGTCGGCAAACTCATTAGTCCACAGAGCCAAATATCAACAGGACAATTGACATTTCTTTGGCAAGCCAAATTTTAAACTTCTTCTAATGCCACTTCTTCAAAATAGACTCGCCCAGGCTGTGGTGTTTTGTGGAAGAGCCACACTCAAGGGGCCAAAGAGCCGCATGTGGCTCCCGAGCCGCAGTTTGCCGACCACTGTCCTAGGGCCTTCTTGTCCTAGCACCAGGAGGTGGGCGGGGTTGTCCTCCCATCCCCCTTTCCTGGCGGCTGGGCTGCAGCTGACCTAAGTTGGCTTGTTGATCCTGTAGTTTGAAGGAGCACTCAAGGGCTACCTGTGCCCCTCACAGACCATCCCTTCTCATCTACTTCTGACCTTAGGGTTCTTGAAAAGCCACTGTATGAGATCAACCAAGTCTTTGGAGAGCCCGCAGCTCTTCAGCTCAACATCTGAAGCAGCACAAGCCACATCGTTGGGACCACTCTGACTGTGCTGGCTCCATTCATCCTCCTGAAATATGGCCTTCGCACCTGCTGCTCCCTCTGCTCTTCCACCTGCCCCACTGCTTCCCATCACCAAGCTCAACGCCCTCATCCCAGGTATCACAGCTCACCCTTTTCTTTTAGGAATCAGGTGGTCAATCTCCCTGGTGTGCCAGGACTGGCACCCTGTCACATACAAGAGAAGGGGTGCCCAACAGGAGGGTGTAGGGAACGGCCCTCAGCTAAGCAAGCACATGCATCCTAACCCCGCACTCACCTGTGGAATGAAACCACAGTAGGTCACTGTGTGGAAGCCGAACTTGGTCACATGCTGGGGCCCCGCATCCTCGGCCCTCCGGCCTATCAACAGGAAGAGATGTGGTCTTTCCTTTAAATGCCAGACCCTATCAGAGAGTCGGGACAGGCCTAGCTGCACTGCTGGGATGTGGGTACCATTCCTACTAACAATTAGATAGCACATGCATCAGCCAAGACACAGCCTCAGCACACCGGACGGCAGGGCTGGGTATAAAAGAGGTCAGGAGCCAATCCGACTTGCTAATCGACTCCATCAGATTCCTACTTAACAATCGCATTTTCCCACTGAGTGTCGAGGGAGATGGCGGGCCACCCAACCTGTTACGGAAATGTCACCTTGGGCACCAGGCCAGGGTGGATGCCACTGGGTCAAGGGTGCACGAAGGCAATCTGAACGCACCCACTGTGCTCGCCTCCTCCCTCAACTTGTCCTGGAGGTTCTGGTTGTAAAGATGCAAATCTGCCATCTGTTCTCCAAGTCTCCAAGCCTGACTGTGGAGAGAAGACATGCAGCCATTAAGAAAAGAAATGGGCTGAAACCGGTTTGGCTCAGTGGATAGAGCATCAGCCTGGGGACTGAAGGGTCCCAGGTTCGATTCCGGTCAAGGGCACATACCTTGGTTGCGGGCACATCCCCAGTGGGAGGTGTGCAGGGAGGCAGCTGATCAATGTTTCTAGCTCTCTATCCTTCTCTCTTCCTCTCTGTAAAAAAATCAATTAAATACTCTGGGGAGGGTGGGTATGTATGGGGGGGGGCAATGGTAAAATATGTACACAGATAATAATTTAATTTTTAAAAAAGTAAAAATAAATATTGTTATAGAACTAATTTTTTTAAAATATATTTTATTGATTTCTTACAGAGAGGAAGGGAGAGAGAGAGCTAGAAACGTCGATGAGAGAGAAACATCGACCAGCTGCCTCTTGCACACCCCCTACCTGGGATGGGCCCGCAACTGATGTACATGCCCTTGACCAGAATCGAACCTGGGACCTTTCAGTTCGCAGACCGATGCTCTACCACTGAGCCAAACCGGTTTCAACTTGTTATAGAACTAAAAAAATAAATTAAAAAATCAATAAAATATATTTTAAAAAAACATCTCCCAGATGATTCTTCTCCCCCCCTACCCCTCCATGTGGGAGTCTGTGCTTGTTCTTCAATAAATTTCCACCTTCGCTATAAAAACAAACTAACAAAAAACCATCTCCCAGTTTTGAGGGTTTTTAAATAAATATTTTTTTTA